ATTCTCGAATTGGTAAATCTGACTTTATCAACAATCCTGTCAGACTGCAGCGGCATATCATTGTAAATTATATCCTCAACCGGGCACAGAATGCTATCTTGATCCAGTATTTTCAAGCCCCCCAGAGATTTTCTGGAGTATCTGCTGGCCATTTTGATCGTTTCTAAGAGAATTTCGGTGTCGGATTCTGTATAAGGATGACCAGACCGCTCAATTTGAGCTTGAACATCAAGAATGTCTTTTACTCCTGGCCTCGATCTGACACTCATAGCTTTCAAGATTTCTTCGTGCATTTTTGCGAATCCAACATCGACATTCCCCAGGAAAGGACTGAGCAGAGTACAACCAGAAAAGAATGCCTTGGAAGCAGTAACGAATACACCGTTGTCTGTGAGAACGCATCGACGACGTTTCAACGATTCCGAAACTACATCAGTTCGGAAGTTGTCTCTTAAATAGATAAGGACGGTATTGACGACATCCCCTTCATCTTTGATGACGCCATGATCAAGCTGAGCAAGTAATATATCGTCAGGTAAAGTTTTGTTCCATCCAAGGAATTCGGCCCAACGGTGAGATACGGCGGTGAAATGGACGATAGGCAGCCTATATCCTGCACGTAAACGATCCTGAATACCGCGGCACTCGCTCGGGCTTACCATTTCAATACTTCCATCGGGTAAAGTGGCTGGTAGCCATTTGCGTTTCAGGAATTGCTTGTATTTTGCCGCCGTTGCTTCTGACGGAAACCAGGAGCAAGAAGTCTTCAACAAGTTTTCAGCACGACTGTGGACTTCTTCTTTAGGAAGAGAACTGTTCAAAAACTTTCCGACTCGCTCATAGACAAACAACTCGTCAACTTTAGCCCTCAACCCAAATTTCTTGAAAATTGAACCATACCGCGCGAATTGATCATCAGTAGGTAACACTTCCTCGTCACTGAAGAACACGCTCTTCAGGCAGCTGTTTTCTGGGTCTATCAGAACAGAAGCGGTGGCGAACTTGCCGGTTAGACTCCCACCAATTGACTGAGTCGGTACTATTGGCAAGCTAATCATAGCTGCTTGTGCTTGTGGAGACAAATCATAGTATGCTTTAAGCATCAACTCTGCAGTTTGCGCCTTGGACGATGGTGACCAAGTGCACTTTTGAAGTCCCTTCCAAGCCGGAATAATATGATCTTCTAATGCTTCTTTCTTCGATTTACACACAGCGAGTTTCTGATAGCTAAGGATTTTTTGGATGGGAATGGTCTGCGCATCTATAAATTGGTAGTCCTTGAATATAGGAAGGGGAATTATTCCATCAGTGACCCCAATTGCAGACTTGAAAGTCTCCATACGTACCCATGGAAACCTTGGAATGGTGTTAGTTACCTTCAAACTCTGGGTACAAGGATATACATACCGACGATCACCATCAATTCCGCATGTCAATCCTCGAAAAATTGGGAGTTTCTTCAGATGGAATAAATGATCGTTTGTGTATTTGGAATCAAGCTGCCCTCCAATAGCTTTTGCGATATGTTCAATGATGATAAGTTTGTCTTCATCGGATGCTTCTTCAATTATAAGATGGGATTGAGCGAGCCATTGCAATAAGAAATGGAACTTATCACCGTTGCGAACTTGCAGGGTTGCTCCTGCATTAACAGTTTTCAATATTGCTAAAAGACCTCTGTCTAAGCCCGTGCTACCTGAAAGAATCACCGGCGCGCTTTGAGCTCTATCATCTTCCCCAAGCTTTTGAACAGTATCGCCGAGTGGTCCAGGCGGTGGTATGATGGCCCAGCAATTGCGAGGCTTGACTTTTCTGTATTTGCCATTTGTAAGAGGAAGCAACCATAGACTAGCAATACTGTCATTCAAGATGTCTGAACATCTATGTATCCAAGTCCAAGACTTAGTGACAAAGAACCTTTGATCGGAATCCAAAGCAGCCATGTCGGCATCAACGTCAAGCTTATCAAAAAAGTATGCCATGGCGTACTTTCTGAGATCGCTGGCAGAACGGTGGCGGATGTGAGGGTGAAATTGTGGGGCTCTTAGACGATCTTGCAAAGTGTTCAAGCTTGACTGAGAAAATTGCTTCAGGTCCAAATTGTGCTTAGGGTCGTGTTGGAACAACTCGGCCTCAAACTCATCGCGATGTACAAAAGCAAGATGATCATCGATTGAACGGCATGAGCCATCTTCGAATGGAAACAATGCTAAGCCCTTCCCAAGGTCTGATGAGCCCAGAACAGGGAGAATGTATTCCAGGATCTGTTGTCTTATTGCTTGTGGCCAGGAAATGACCAAGTTATTCTTGCCGCGCAGATAGTTGCACAGAGTCCGAGGTCCAAGTATAAGATCCAAGAAGAGATTCTTAACTTCCTCTCTTAGCCTATCTGGGATATATACAACTGGAATTTTTGCGTCTGCTAATGTCAACTTCAGTGATTCCGACTCTTTTCCTGTCGCCAAAAGTCCGGCGCCGGCACTGATATAACCATTCACAGTATGCCAAACAGGCAGACGTTGATTCTTAATCAATGTAAGCACTTGAGCAAGCACATCCTTAGACAAATTGTCGGGATCCTCGGATTTATAAGGCCAATACTTGAATGATGGATCGTGTGGAAAAGATGAAGCAAGGTGGCTAAGTAATTTAGTCCAAGCATGTGGAATTGAGCTATTAAAAAGATATTGATTCCATTGTGCCGGTAACTGATCCTGCGAGCTGCGATCCTGAGACTTATACAATCGGGCTCGATCTGGCGAGATACTAAACAAGCCATGAATAAGAGCCGGTTGGTTGATGGGAATATGCAATGGCATCACCAAGAATAAAGATCCGCGTATAGCAGGACTGTTTTCGACCTGCAAATATGTCAGTGATTCTGAGTACGATACTTTGGTGGTGACTGAATTGTTACTTTTCAGGAGGGTTAACTTACGGGCAAGGGAACGGCCACTGCGACCCAGGGCAAGGATTTCTGGGCTATACTCCATTTACGGATCTCTTCTGTCATCGAGTTCCCTTGTATACTGTGGTGAACTAAGAAGCTCATTTTGGTTGTTCTGCAGTGGCTCTGATACCTCAATTCCATTTCAAAAGTACAATCGAAGTCTTGAAAAGGATTATTCAAGAAGCTGACAATTGCATCGTTGACTCTAGTCTTGTTTCTACGCAATGAATCATCAATAGAGGAACGCGTGAAAGAAAGAGAAAGCTTACAACTGAACAGCCGTCTTATTCATCACCTCGATCTCAATCAGACCCGTGATATTCGAAATCACGCTGATCTTAACAACATGTTTCATGAATAGCAGACCTTCTTTTTCAAAGTCTTCGGTGAACTTCTCTAGTACGTAAGCCATCTCTTGGGCCGTGATCTTGCGATCGGAGATCCCACTTTCTTTTGCTTGTTCAACTGTGCGTAGAGGAAGTCGAATGATGGTGCCAGGAAAAGGTTGCTTTGCGTTCTTCATAAGTGATTGATAAACAGTCATGTGGGCTTTCAAGCTGGGGTTTTCAGAGTGTTCTACGAAGTTATAGCCGTTCCCGCCGCTTGACCAAGAATGATGAGGGTCCAGGATCTGGACGCGGTGACCTGATACGATAGACGGAGAATCCGTCCAGTTGTAAACCTGCTTGCTGTCAGTTAACAGAAATACTAGATTTAACGTCATACATACAGAATTGAAACCTCGACCGAACTTTCCTGTAGTCGAACCGTCCTCCATCTTGAGCGAATTTCCCACCTGTGACAAGCTTTGAAAATGCTCTTTCTTGAATTCGGCATTATTATAAGCTAATAGAGCTGGCCCTTGGTATTGAGCGAGCTTCGGTGGCAGATTGTCTGTCCCATAGCTATTCTCATCGAGAAAGAATTTCTGCAAGTTGGGTTAGAAGGGAACAATATAGAAGTAGTTGAATGATTAAAGTAAATTTACATACCACTTCCGATGCCTGGGCATCATCAGCATTTTGTAAGAGCTCTCTGAGAACAGAACCTCCAGCGGGATAATCACGACAGATGTTCTTCAATGCATTTAATATGGTTTGGACCTGCGGGAGGTCGAATTCCGCAGGAATATCCATCTTGACGTTGTTGAGATATGAAGGTTATTCGATTTTCATGGAAGATTGCTCGTTGATAAAAAGTAAGAAGGGCAATTGGGGACGAGAAAAGCGAAGTGGTTGAGTTGAGTAAGGTTGTGGTCTGTTATTGTGAAGAGTAAGAAGGTGAACTTGCCGTGATATATCTGCCCGCGGAGAGTGAACGAAACAAAGGTGAACGGTGATTAGTGAAATAATAGCGTGGGAGAAAGACGGATTGGACGGAATCAAGTCACAAAATCACAAAGTGATAGATAAGTGAAATGCAATTTGAAATGTTTGTTTGTTCAGAGAAAGAGAACCAATGTGTTTTTATAGTATGGCGATTCCTTGTTTGATGCAAGGCGAGGCTGAGATGGAATCTGCCTCGACAAACAATTGGTCGTTTCGGATCCTGCAAGGACCCCAATCTGTAAGCTCGCGATTGTCCACAAGGTCCTTCTATTGGATATTTCTATAAACGTGGGATATGTAGGGGCTCGCATTATCTTTGAGGGAGGCCTTAAATAACATCCATTGATGTATTCTTGACCACTTGATGCGACCAGACTAAAAATTCTTCAGACACGAGTGCACTCGCATTGATTGCTCCGATCATCAAGGGAATATATCATAAAGTTACTCTTTTAAAACAAACGAACACTTTTTGACAATACGAAATTTTGAGAATGATGAATCACAAACCTACCATTCGCATAACTCGGGGAGTCTGATATAGAAGAAACTTTAGTTTTTGATGCTTTCTCTACTCTGTAATCTAGAGGAGCTTCTCCTTCCTGCTTCCGTAGTTTAGCAGGCGCATCGAATGGACATGATTTACATGATTACTGTGTATCATACCGCTTTGCAGAGCCAAAAGCGAGCAAAGCTTTACTTATACTCGAGCCACAGGTCAGTTATCCACCTCCCAGGTATCGTTCCACATCGTCATTCCTATAAAACATTTCCCTCAACTTCTCCCCCTTTCTCCTATCCTTTTCGTGCAATTTCCTGACCTTTCCAGCATCAAGCTTCTGTGGCTTCTCTTTCTTCCTGATCTCCCCCTTCTTTGGCATCACTACACCAATACCAAGTTTATCATCTTTTGGTTTGGTTTTGATTGGGAACTGGATACCTTGACCAGATGCGCCAAGTCCAAGGCGAGAATCAGGATCCCAACCATACGATGAGAGATACGTAAGGCCTTTTCTACTTCGATCGACATGTGAAGGGGGATGTGAATGGTTCAGACATACTTGATGTGCCAAAGAAGCTTCGTGAGGTCGTGATTTGGTAGGAGACATCGGATTTGATGGGTCTGGTGAACCAGCCTCATCCTTATTGATAATCGACTCGAGATCTGTGGATAGAGGCAGCTTACAGACTTCACATACTTCCAAATTCCTTATAGATATAGTGCTTTCCCTTGAAGTGCTCTCAGGTATCGAGGAGTCTTGTGGAAGAACCAGTTTGAGATATGAATCGCTGATACTCTTTGCAGAGCTTGTAGATGGCGTAGGCTGTATTGTGGATGACGAAGTTGATGGAACGAACTTGACGCGTTTCCTCTTGATACCAGCTCCGAAAGCTCTCTGATCTTGCAATGGAATTTCATAAGTATCTTCGTCTGACATATTTTCCACCCTAGAATAGCAAATTTATCTTATATCAGTAGTAGCAAAAGTTCATGTTATGGCACAGTGATGATGTTCTGGAAACTTCAAACGTAGGGCTGATTGGCCGTAACGACGCTAACATAGCTTACGCCACAAGCGCCACAAAGCTTCGTCAGCCCCAATCTGAACAAATATGGAATTTTGTCAGTGTCTCCTTACCAATTCATTCATTCATTTATTCACCCTTTCATACTTCACTTGTACAATTTTTTTTCTCTCTTGGTCGGTCTTATCTTAGATGATCATAATGCTATATTGAGAAACTTACAATAGCCTCTCCAATAGCTTAAATCCTATCCGCTGCTATGCCTGTCGATTTCGTTGCAAATGTAATATGGGGGAAGGTTACCTGGCTCCCTAGTCTTTGGACTATGGCCAAGGTAGTACCAGCTGTCCTCGTCATTGTGCTGGTGAAGCTCTTCTCTGCGGGAGTGAAGAACTCGTCGGAGAGGAAGATGCATGGGAAAGTGGTTCTGGTAACAGGAGGGACGTCGGGGATAGGAGCTGCAGCAGTTCTGGATTTAGCATCACGAGGAGCGCAGATAGTTCTACTCACACGTCAATCTCCAACAGATATGTTCCTTGTCGACTACATCGAGGACTTGCGAGAAAGATCCGGAAACGAATTAATTTACGCCGAGCAAGTCGACTTGTCATCATTGTACAGCGTTCGAAAGTTTGCTACGAAATGGATCAACAACGCACCTCCTCGACGACTGGATATGATTGTACTGTGTGCTGCCACACTCACCCCTCCTGGCAGGCCTCGTGTTACAACAGCAGAGGGTATTGAAGAAACCTGGATGGTTAATTACTTGGCAAATTTTCACCTTTTGAGTATTCTCAGTCCTGCGATTCGCGCTCAACCACCGGATCGAGATGTGCGAATTATATTTACAACTTGTTCCTCTTATAACAAGAGTCCCACTGTTGGAGATGGTAGTGATGCAATGAAAAAGAAGGATTGGAGTCCTTCTGCGGCATATGCTAGAAGTAAGATGGCATTAATGATATTTGGACAAGCTTTTCAGAAGCACCTCGAGTCATACAAACGACCTGATGAAGCGATCATGAACGCGCGAGTGATATTTGTTGATCCGGGATATTGTCGTACACCAGGATTCAGAAGATGGTTCTCGCGGGGCACATTGTGGGGATTGGCATTATATGTCATGTTATGGCAAAATGTTTGGCTTCTATTGAAGAGCTCTCAAGGGGGTGCACAAAGTATCTCGTATGCCGCTATGGAAGCAGCATTGGGAAGAGGGCCTGGTGGAAAGCTCATTAAAGAGTGCAGTGAAATAGATTTCACCACATCTGATGTTAAGGACGAGAAGATTGCAAAGAAATTGTGGGAGGGAAGTGAGAAGTTGATTGAGAGAGTCGAGAGGGAGGAAGCTGTCAAAAGAGCTTTGGAGAAGAAGGAAAAGGAGGCGGCGGAAAAGGCAAATGGATCAAGTGAGAAGCCATCTGACAGCCCCGAAACTACAGAAAAAGCGACGGAGAACTCCAAAGGAAAATCTCGAAGGCAACGTAAGGCGAAGTGAGACGATGGAGAATTGGAGGTCATATAGCATTGCGACGGAGTCTTCAATATAGTACTTTCGGATACCAGGCCTAATACAGCGTCTTTACGTGAAGCTTAACAACTTTGGTTTCACCTACAATAGTTTTTACATCGAGGCACATCTGGTTGATATAGTGGTACCCTTATTTGAACCCCGATTTTTTTTACGATGATTATTCTGCTTAGGTTTGATCTATTGGATGAGGACTCTCGATTGTGCCAGTCTAATCCTTGTAGTAAATGCCGTTGTTTTCTTTAAGACGGAGGATGTGTATACAGAATCTCCTAGGTGCTTGGTTCAACAATGTGTTGGATGATTACCTGGTTTGGCAGCCAGATTTACCAACCGAGTCGTGGATCGTGATGCATCCGTAGCTATATACTGTGAGTTGGCCCATTTTGATTCTAATTGTCGCATATACGAATCAGTTTGGTTGGTTGCAGCAGAAAAAATGGAGAACTCACATCCTTATATGGAGAAAATGATGTCGAATGGGTCCTCTACGACATAGCTCACAGCGGTAGCGGTAACGCGGCTGTCGTTATTCGCTCCACAACACCCTGGAATTATGCAGGCAATGAAAGCAGATGGTATAGCAGATTCTCGATTTAAGTATCTGTTCAGCGGAAACCAGATTGGTCATTTTTGTGGCTCCCACGAATCAAAGTACCCTCATTTCTTGAGCAACGTCCGCTAGCATCACATCTTCTCTTCGGCCGTGTGGATCTTGCTTGGCAATATTGCTTGATCCGGGAACATCTGCAAGATGATATCAGAATCTTTTAATGAACGAAATTCTTGATAAATTGTTGTGGGCCTTCGATAAGCTTAATTGTCTTGGACGGTCTCGAGCCGAAAATTCGAGTCAGGGGTGGATCTGAGGTTTCAATACTCATGTACTGTGTACAAGGCTCGCAAGGTTCGCGAAGAGAAACTCAGAGGTCAAGCACCAGAATTTGATGAGTTTTAGAGATTTACAGTGTTATTTGTCCCTCGATAGAGAGTGCTTATTGGTCTCAAATTCTCCATTGGCCACTAACATGACTCTTGATCTCGGTATCTGATCACATGATCACGGTAGGTCAGATACTTATACGGATCGGCATTCTGACCTTCTAGAGGGGAAGGGACCGCGATGCCGCCGAAACTACCTGGGGACGATACGTACGCCATCCTCCACCATGAACCAAAATGGAGTTCAAAAAATGCGGCACCTCCACAGCTTACAATTTTTCGAGGTCTGATATCATACTTCCGGTTTTGATAACCACTTCCATTTGTGCATGTTTGGATCTACCCATATTACTTGGACAACATAGGGTCCACCTAGGAGAAATTTCATCATGACTATCAATGTTTTTTCTAACTTTTGTGGACCTCTCCATACCGACTCAAGGAGAAAAAAATGCTCCCCAGACCCCATATAGTCCCCTATCTCCCACCTCATATGACTTTTTTTAATCCAGAACAACTTGAAAACCCCCTCCAAAAAGCGCATTTACAATTATGGGTTTACTAAGTCATACGGGTTTCCTTGGGAAGTCGGTGCAAGGGAAGGCTCTTGAGAGTCTTGTCTGCGCAACTGCTGCAAGTGGTTTCTTACTTTTCGGATATGATCGTAAGTAATGTCCTAGCTCAGACCAAAAAACCAAACTCACCAGTGTATTCAGAGGGTATCATGTCCGGAATCATTACAGAGGAAAACTTCCTCGCGTACTTTCCTCAGATGGAACCCCACAACAAATCTGGAGCAATTCAAGCCTTGGTTGTTGCAATTTACGAAATTGGTTGTTTACTCGGGTCATTTTTTATCATCGGCTTTGGCGACAAACTTGGAAGAAGGAGAGCTGTGTTATTGGGAACTGTTATCATGTTGATTGGTACTGCGATTCAAGCTTCAAGTTTTGGGATGGCTCAATTGATCGTGGGAAGAATCGTTACCGGTGTTGGAAATGGAATGAACACTTCATCCATTCCAGTTTGGCAAAGTGAAATGGCACCACCTAAGATTCGTGGATTTTTGGTCTTGTTCGAGGGTGCTCTGATTGCTGGAGGCAGTAAGTGGTATCCATCCCCCTTTTCTATCAACTTCGGCTGATCAAACATAGTTATGCTATCGTATTGGCTGAATTATGGATTCTTCTTCGTCACTCAATATGGTTCCTTCCAATGGCGCTTTCCGATTGCTTTCCAAGCATTTTTCGGAGTCATTCTCCTCATTGGTATCCTCGCGTTGCCAGAATCGCCTAAATGGCTACTCAAGAAAGATAAGGACGAGCACGCAATCGAGATTCTTTGTCGCCTACAAAAATGCGAGAAAGATGATCCACGAATTACGGAAGAAGTAAGGGAACTCAAGAGAGTTACTGCTATCACCAAAGGACAAAAGCTCACACTTAAGGAATTTTATGGAAGTGGTCCTGAGATGAACAGATGGAGAGTTACTATTGCATATACTTCGCAACTTTTCCAACAAATTGGAGGCACTAATCTTGTTACATATTACGCAACGTAAGTTCTTATATCCACATTCATTCATGTATACATTGTGCTAACGCTGTATCACAGAACTGTCTTCGAGGACTCGCTTGGTTTCTCCCCGGCTCTTGCCCGTCTCCTAACCGCCTGCTATGGAACTCTTTATCTTGCCGCCGCCATTTTCGCTTTGTTCATTGTCGACCATTTTGGCCGCCGCAAAATGATGATCATGGGTGCTCTAGGAATGGGACTTTCATCTATGGTCATCGGTGTCTGTCTTTCACAAACAACAGAAGACTATAAGGCTCCCGGTTACGTTGCCACTGCCTTTATCTTCATCTTTATTGCCTTTTTCGCAGTGGGATGGTTAGGTATTACTTGGCTCTATCCAGCCGAGGTGACGCCGCTTCGAATTAGAGCAGAAGCCAACGGTCTTTCGACGTCTTTCAATTGGATTGGCAATTACATTGTTGTTCAATTGGCTCCAATTATGATTTACAGCATCAGCTGGAAAACATATTTCGTATTTATGTGTGTCAACCTTGCTTTCGTACCAGTCATCTGGTATACTTTTGTGGAGACCAAAGGATACCCACTTGAAAAGCTCGATGAGATTTTTGAAGAAGCATATGAAAAGGGAGAGAATCCCGTATGGACAGAAAGAAGAATTAGAAAGAATGCAAAGGAGTTACTAAACGGCGGAAAGCACGCAGAAGAAGGCGTTGCTACCGGCGCCCACATTGGAGATGAGGAAAAGATCAGAAGAGAAAGTAGAAACGAAAACATGGCTGCGAATGCTGGACGTTTGCATAATCATGTCCATGGTGGAGAAAGTGGAAGGACGAGTGGCGAAGACACGGTAATTGAGCAAAGAGAGAAGATGGAGGAGGAGGTTGATAGAACGGATAGATACCCTTTTGCTGGGAACTGAGTGTTTTTCTTCGGATTTGTGGCTGTCAATTGCAGTTCATAAGAGTTAGGAAATGTTGGGCGCTTGGCGCTCATCTGTTTGTACGATATTGGGTGGATGAAGGGATAGCGTTTGCTTGTTTGATTTTTGTTATGATATCCATGATATGATGCGATGATATTACATGTTAGATGATAAATAATAGACTTAAAAAGGAGCATATGGGAACGAATTACAAAAAGTACTGTTTTGAAGAAATAGAACTTTGCGATGCGATGTGATTTTGAATGAATTGTGAGGAAGTTGTTCAAGCTAGCTTGGCACAAACAGAAGCCTTTATCTCTGTCTGGCAGTTTCTAAAGGGGAAGGATTGATGTCAGGATATGGACTAGATGTGATAAATCGGAATGCAGGGGATTTATATTAAAAACTCCAGTCGAGTACGAGGAGAGTAATTCTACAAACCTTGGCATTATTGAATTAGCTATTCCCGAGCGCTGCCATGAATGTTTCAACTCCAAGTGGTTATCCTAAGCCCATCAAAGGCTCATGAGCTCTTGTTCCAATATCCAAGGGTGTTTGGTACCACTAAATATTGATCATCTCAAAAAAAAAAAAAGAATGACGTCTCCTTCCAGAGGCTGTTGTTATCATGGACCAGCTCTTGCTATCTCTACTATCTACGAGTTCATCAAGTGATCGATTCAGAGGCTTATATCTATGTAATTATGGACATCAAGAATTTCAATGTTCCAGAGTTTGTCTATCTGCTCTTACGCTAAGTTTTGAAGTGCCTGTTGCTTCCTTCCTTCTTTGCCTTTTCCACTGTCCTTTCTTTCTGAAGAGAATTTGATGTTTCTTTTTTATTCATCTCTTTCTATTCCTGTTCTTCATCATTGTCTTTGCTTCTATTTCTCAACTTATTTCTTTGGTGTATTGATTATCAGAATGGCAGATTCCACCGATTTTGCTGAATACCATCTTGCAAGATGGAATATAGACGACGACTCATTATCTTATATTGATCATGATTATTGAGAAGGACTAATAAATCAAATAGTCGAATCACGATGGGGTAGGAAAGCATCGGCTTTGAAACGAGACATGATTTTTCGCCAAGCTTTTGACCGCCTCAACAAGCCATCGCATGATGGTGGTTCAAAGTCAAAACGTTGCAGCAATTTCTCAGAGGCTCAAAGGTTCAAATTGATGATAGCAAGTATATGGAATGTCTCTGGTATGTCACAATCATTTCTCACAAGCGTTCAAAAGGCTGATGCATACAGCTGGTCGGGATCGTGGTTGTACATTACACGGTGAAGGCGAGAGACGAATGGCTCGCGATTCAGCAAATAAAACACCCCGTGGAAAAGATTTTGGCAACACAGTATGCTCTATGCCGGGTCATACTGAGGGTTTCTTTTTCTTTGTGGTGGAAACATTAAATGCTGCTAAAGAATACGCGCCGCATCGCAGTCAAATTCTAGCTCTTCGTCGGTCACTTGCAATTGATTCGGAAAAGAGACAATCAAAAGGGACTTCTTTATTTGAGCCCAAAGAAAGACCAAGCAGCCAGAAAGAACTGGGTTTTGACCAAGCGGTATCCGTCTCATCAAACGGAGCAGGACACTCAAGAGAAAAATCCTCATTTGAAGCCAACAACTCACCAAGCAGACAAGAAAAACTAATCATGGGCGATGCAACGTCGTTTTCGTCGAATATTACAGGTCATTCGATCAAAGAAGAACCAGATATGGATCAGCTAATGGTCAATCCATCAAGTAGATTGGAATATTCAACTGTAGAACAATCAGATGGGGATAGTTCGGCGTCATCATCAACCGCATTCGACCCATCGGAACATTCAACTTTGTTGGGAGAAGTTGCTGAACCGTTACTAACTTCATCAAATGGATTGGAACACCTAACTGTAGAACAATCAGAAGTTGATCGTTTAGCATCAATGTCAATTGCACCAAACTCGTCGAAACAGTCAGAATCATTGGGACATTCAATCCAATCGGAGGAAGTTACTGAACCAATAGCAATTGCATCAAACAGATTGGGATATTCAATTGATTCTTATCATCCGCCACTAGTTGGTATTGATATTACAGGTCGTGGCAGTCGCATTATCAAGAGAGCCTCCTTGTACAAGAGGAAGGAATCGCTCAGTGCCGTTGGAGTTCCTTTGCACATTGTTTGTACACAATTCAAGGACTACATTGTATGTGGACTGAAGAGTTGGAGGAAAGGAAGACATGTAAAGAGCCAATTGGCTCTCGACATTGTCGGTGTATGGTTTGAGAAATCAATGCATCAATATTCTTCTCAAACCTTGATAGATTTCATACACGAACTCGGTGCAGGACAACAGTTGAATTTGGGGCAACTTCATAGCGCCGCTGGTGGATCTTCCCTTGTGGCTAGCCGAAGTAAGTTTGATTTAATTCCGGGAGATGCAGTGGTTGCAAACCGGTCTGCGAACGTTTCTCAAGTTTCTTCTTATCGGCACCTATTGCAGATCACGAACCAGAACGTTGCTGGTAACTTTATCGGTCGTGGGGGAGCCCGCGCAAGAGAGGCCGAGAAAATTTTAGGATTATTCATGTCTCTCAAGCGGTTTAATGGAAAAGAGTACTTTGTGTGTAGGCCACGCGCACATCAAAATCTTGATCGACAGGAAAATGTCAATCGTAAAAGATGCCGGATTGGTTTAGAAATTATCAGTATATGGCTCTGGGAACATTGGAACGCACAAAACGACTACATGAGTTTGCCGGAGTTCCTTGTTTGTCTGAAAGCATCAAACGATAAAATGACGTTGGAGGAAATCCATGAAGCCGCAATACATTCTATGAGACGAACAAGGCTTCCATATTCCCACAAAGCTTTCTTCGAATCGAATTATACTATAGAAGCAGAATCAGAAGATTAGACAGATGGATATTTAAATCTGTTTGAAACAGGGGGAGCAAGCAATTCATTAGTGATATATCTTTTGGTTTTGCGCAATACGGGCAAAGCATGACGATTATCACAGGGATAAACTTTGAACTATGACACTAGAGAGCTCATTATACCAAAATAAGCCTCAAATACTTCGTCTTATTCTGCTGACCATGAATTCACATTGTATCATTTACCAAAGAGATCCAACCGATAACAAGTAAGAGTTAGGAATGATAATGAGTATACTGATTCGCCAATGAGAACATCTTACGAAAATTTATGAAGTCTTACCAAGTGAAAATAATGCTCTCCCAACACCACGCTAGAAAATTTCAAGAATTCTCCAAACGAGAACGGATATCAAATGAAGTAAAGTGGAAATGAAACCCAAGATTGGATGTATCAAAAGCCAAGGAAAGTAACACGTGGAGCATCTCCTTCCTTAGAGCACATCTCGCGAACCAAAGACATATGAACCCTTGTTCCACTCAGATGCTGAATCTTCAACACCTTTTCCAAAACAGTCTTGAACTTTCCAGATGAGAATTTTTCCAAGATCCATTCCCGATGTATAGTATCCGTGGTTTCAATCCCTGCCATGAATAAGGGCCAATGGAGCCTTTCGTAATGCTCCTCATCACCCTTTGCAAAGATTCTTTGAGCGATTTCCAAGAGTGACTTGAGAGCTCGTTTGACTACCTTTGGTCTTGCGTTGCGATCTTCGTTTCGCGTAGTATATCGAAAGTGGTAGATACGTATAGCGTAGAAGTAACTGAGTATCCAATCGGCATTGATCAGGAATCTTGGACGAGTTTCTAAATCCATTGCAGCAAGTTCGAATATAGAGCTGTAAGTTTGCTCGAGTTCACAAAATTGTCGTTCTATCTCGTCTGATGGGATGTTTTGGTCAAGGTCATTCACTAGCTGACACATTATTGCTGACTTCCACAAAAGATCTAGCACTTCAAGATTCTGAGTATCATCAGCTGCCTGATCTGGTGGATAGTCTTGGTCAAAGTTCAGAGCAAGAACAGCACGGCCCATGTCGACGATTTTGGATATATTCTTGGTGTCGGTGCAAAGATATCTTGCGAGATCCCCCCCACGGTAGCAAAAGCAAAATCCAACATCGGCGTAAAACATCCAAACTGTGACTCGGGCTAGTAACGATTGATCACGAAGGTGGAAAGGTAAAGGAGGATTTGCGTGTTGCTTATTGAGTGGATCTAGATCTAGAAGACCCGCTACATGCTTTTGCACATAATCGCACACAACTCTGCTCAAGAGCATCATCGTACCGATACCCGCATGAATTTGACTTGATCCAAGCATATATAAGAACCAGAAAGCCGCCATGATGCTCAAGTGGTGTGGTGATTCTTCCTCGGAGATAGCTGTCAGTAAACGACCAATTCCAGCTCGAAAGTGTTTTTGGGCAAGGTCGTGAAGTGCATTATCTTTATCTTTGAAAAACAAGTCACGAAATGATATCGCAAGCAACAAGTGCATAATTAGAGGATCTTGGGCGCCGAGACAAATATATATTTGCTGGGTTGACCAGGTGGGGTTTTTCGTGGTAAACTTCAATGATAACGTCTTCTCGTAATGTTCAACAGCCCGTCTCTCTGATGGTGAGAGTTTCAACGGACTCGAATGACGTAAATTTGGGAAATGAAGTGTGACGCATCCTTGAGCATAATAGTCATCCTGGAACACAACATTATCTCGACCCACAAGGTCAAGAGCTCTTAGAGGTTGGAACGGCGATGAAGGACTATTAGTGTAAGTGTCCTTGTTCCCTGGCGCTAGTCCGTCAAATGTCTCGAGATTGAAGGAACCTTCGGGCAAGATAAATCCATGTCCCATATTGGTCGTCCATTCATGCATGCTCCACATGTCAGGAAATACTTCATCTTCCACAGCATGGAGAAATTCGTTGACATCTGCCGGTGTTGGATGTGGTAGGAATGCAACGACATTTGGGATGATCTGAACTGGAATTGTCCTTTCTCTCGCTTCTCGATGCCGTCGTTCCCTTTCCTTTCGAGAAACAAATGGCTGGTATGAACAATCTAACTCGAGACGATTGCACCTTTCACATATCGGATGTTTTTCGTCACATCTCACTCTAGCACGTCTACAAGTCATGCATCCTATACTTGATTAGATTAGAACTTTCGACCATTAAAGACACCTACCTGATCTAGACCTGAGGCCTCTTCTAGGTTGTGACATGGTAGAGTCTGCGATGCAAGTTGGCTCAAAGTTCTAGGTGGGGTCCAAGTCTAATCCAAGTGCTCAAACAATTGTTGGAAGTTTCTTTCCAACATTGCCCCATCTGTGTGAACATTTATGCACAGATCTACGACCTTTACGAGACAAAATCAAGGCCATGATGACTGCGGGCTGAGTTGAGCTGATGAAGTGAGGTTGAGAAGAAGGCTGAAATGATTGGTTGTTATCAAATCAGACCTGTCAAGTGGGTCAAATGCGGCTGGTCGTCTCGACTAACCAATCATAATTGGAGCTCGCCAATTTTGATTTTACCCCGCGGTATTGATGTCTGTGAATTAAAAACATGATATTGAACGAACCATGGCACTCATTTCGATTGGTTACGTCTGTCAATACTAATAAAACCGTTGCATTTTCAGAAAGTTGTTTGCCTTTTATAGATACCCCTTCATTCTTCGTGAGCTCATTCCGGATTGACTTTGCATTAGCTTATTAGCAATCTAGCATTTGCTCCTCCCTTGTTTCCCATTTGCACATCTGTTCAACAATAAAGCAGCCCACCAAGTACCAAGATAAATCACTATCAAAAATGAATGACTCAACTTTCTTCGATCAGGCCATCGGTCAATACGATGAGAAATTAAAAGCAATCAATCAAAAGGTAGCAGCAGCCTTCTATTCCATATACAATTGCACCGAATCTCACAGGTTTAGATCCACGAAAATCCAGAGCTTGGATACAATGAAGTAAAGGCACACGACAATATTACGTCCATGCTAAAAGAGCTAGGTTACTCTGTCACGACTGGGGCGTATGGTGTACCGACAGCTTTCTCGGCTGAGTATGGTAGTGGGGGTCGTCTTGTAGTGTACAACGCGGAATATGATGCTTTACCCGATATCGGACACGCGTGTGGCCACAATCTTATTGCTACTGCTTCAATTGCATCATTTCTTGGTCTGGCAGCCGCAATCAAAGAGCATAATATTTCCGGCCGAGTCAGGCTTTTGGGAACACCGGCTGAGGAAGGAGGTGGAGGAAAATTGAAGCTCATCGACGCTGGAGCGTACAAAGATGTTGATGCTTGTATGATGGTTCATCCATCGATCAGAGACCCGAGTCATGGTCTTGTCGGCTCTGCCTATAGCACCACATTGGCAAACCATAAGTTCAAGATTCATTACACGGGCAAGCCTTCTCACGCGGCTATGGCACCTTGGGAGGGTATCAATGCGCTTGATGCCGTTGTTCTGGCTTACAATGCTATAAGTGTATTGAGACAACAGATCAAACCATACGAAAGGATCAATGTAAAGCATATTAAATATTTCTTCAACCACATATATTCTAACCTATACCAGGGTGTGATTGAATCTGGTGGCACAAGACCGAATATCATCACGGCTAGTGCAGGATTAGTTTATTACATCAGAAGTGCGACTCTTAAAGAAGCCGATGAGCTCAAAGCCCGAGCCATCAAATGTTTCGAGGGAGCTGCTATTGCAACAGGCTGCACCGTCGAGTTTGAAGAGTATGTTTACAATCCCCGCTTTTCATTTCAAGATATCCATTGACCTTGCTCAGGATCAACACATACGCGGATACACGACCCAACAAGCCAATCTGCTACCATTACGCCCAGGCGATGGAAAGTCTCAAATACCCCGTTACATGTGATTTTAAACACATTGACAATGCCCCTGGCTCAACAGATATGGGTAAGTTTTGAACCTCTCTTCAACATAGCTCATCTCCTAACCGATCTCTCTATCCCAGGTAACGTCACATACGAATGTCCCGGCTTTCATGGTTGGTATGGCATCTCCGATACAGCATTTAACCACACTCCTCAATTTACACAAGCGGCCGCTACAAAAGAAGCTCATGATATTACTATTGTAATGGCTAAAGCCATGGCGATTGTGGGATGGAAAATTCTGACCGATGATGAGATAGCGGAAAGTGTAAGGAAAGATTTTGAGGAAGATAAAATCTTGAGGGAGAAGCCTAGGGGTGTGGTGTCCGTGGGGGGTGCTTGTTGAGGAAAAGTTTGTGAGATGATCGGCTCGATGGACGGAAATGATTTTGATGCGCATAAGCGAATATAGTAGTTTGAAGAGAGCATATTAATCGGATTGATCGATTTCATCGTTAAGTAGTCGTCCCATCGTTGCACGTCATACTTTCCAGATACCAACATCATATCCCATGTTACATAAAACTAGTAATCCGCAATTCGCCATCGCTATTGCCTAGATATTCACTTATTCACTTATTCACTTATTCACTTATTCACTTATTCACTTATTCACTTATTCACTTATTCACTTATTCACTTATTCACTTAGGCTTTGCCCTTTATTAACCATAATCCAAACAGCTTACCTATCTATATCTCATAAACAAACACTTCCTCATCCTCACACCAGGAATAATAGTCTATTCACTCCCCGTCATTTTCTTAAGCGATACATACCCCTTAACCCGAACCACCTCGTTAGTATCGAGCTAGACTTTGTATCACTGATAAATACCTACCTAGATATATTCTCTGATTCTGGTATATTATTAAAACATGTATTTGATCTCTAACCTTGTTTATTTCTTATTCTTCATGTATTCGTTTATTCATTTACGGAGTTTTTTATTTATTTATTGTGATTGTTTCATTCATTCATAATTTCCCCCCCCCCCCCCCCCCTTGAGAAAATCCCAACCCAGACTCCAAATTTTTCCTTTCCCCTTTCCTTCCTTCCTTCCTTCCCAATCGCAAAATTAAATCATACCATGCTAGGCTTATACTCAAACATACAATTTTATCCATACTGTGTCATTCATTCCACCTATATACCATAACATCATTTTCATCTACCTCCTCAAAAGACTTCTTTCCCTTATGTTTCTCACAACTCCTTCTTCCTTGCTCTTTTCTCCTTACTTTCTAAACCCAAGTTTCGGCAATTTAATCCCTATCGTTATAGCAAAAGACAGAATACCTACCACCAACGCAAATACATACGCGGCTTTTAGTGCTTCGGCGTAGGAATCGATGACTTGGTCTCTGTAGTGGGGTTCTAGACCTGCTACTGCTTGGACTGAGGAGCGGACTGCTTCGATGACCTATTTAATTATTGATTTATTAGTTTTTCTTCTTCCAGAAAAAAATGATAAAATTCTAGAGAAGATATAGAGAATCATAAAGAAAATGAATGAAAAATGAATGAAAAATGAATGAAAAATACCTTCTCCTTATCCGGTCCCACAACATTCGTATTCAAGAATCCCACCAACGAATTCTGCACAATCAGCGAACTGACCGCCACCCCCAAAACCTGTCCCATGCTCCTCCACAAAACCAATGTCGTCGTGACAACCGCTTGTTCCCCCTGTTCGCTCACGGCCAGAACACTCATGAAACTTCCCGGCATTTGGAATCCTTGTCCCATGCTCGATGGAATCAATAGTAATACGTATACCCAATTTGGCAATGAGCGATTCATAGCTACTAGTCCTATAGTTCCGATGACATAAAGAGAGACACCGAGGACCAAGGGGGTTTTGAGGTTGCGCGTCCAGGTGATGAGGAATCCGGTGAGGGTACCGATTGCGCTGGCGGCGATGGAGGGGATGATGAGACGGAGACCGGATGCGGTGGGGGATTCGAGGAGGACGGCTTGGAAATAGAGGGGGATGTTGAAGAGGACTGCGTTGATTACGATGGCGCCGAGGGCGTTGCCGATGATGAGGGAACCGCGGGGATTGTGGGTTATGAGGGAGAGGGGCATGACGGGTTGGGAGGCATAGTATTCGGTTATGATGAATAGGGGGAGACCAATGATAGTGAGGATTATACAGGTGAGAATGAGGGGGTGTGTCCAGGGGTAGATATTACCACCGAGATTCTGATGAGTGTTAATTGAATTGTACACGCAAGTAAAAAGAATTTGATAGGCTTTTTGGAAGGCACTTACAATTGCGAGTATGAAGAAAGTAATAGTGGCCATTAGTAACAACGAACCTTTATAATCAAAAACACTCAAAGCCTCCTTCAACGTTTTCTTCCCCCTATTCAAACCCAAATCATTCGGGATAATAAACACGAACAATCAAGCAAAGAATCAACCCTGGGACCTGAACCCCAAATTCCCATCTCCATCCAAGATGAATCCGCCATCGCAACCACCTAGTGCCGCCCCCGAAGCTGCTCCAATCCCAAAAACAATATTCAGATATGATTGATACGCTCCGCGGATCTCGATGGGTATGAGATCACTGGTGATAATCGATCCCATGGACATGACACCCCCCGCACCCAATCCACAAACCGCTCTCGCGATGATGAAACTCGTCATACTTTGAGCAAGAGCACACCAATCGTCGATACCAAAAACAAAATCATAGAGAAAATATATGGAGGTTTTCTTCCCATGGCATCGGAGAGACGTCCGAAAATGGGTTGGAAACTGGTGGATGTGAGGAGAAATGCGGTGGATAACCATGATGCACTATTAGACGCATGAAAATATGAAGTGATAACTGGATGACTCGAAACCATGATTGTAGAATCAAATGAAGATAATGTATATGTTAGAAGCACACCGCCGAAAATGAGCCAAAACCTCTTTACTCCAACGCCGCCTTAAAAAGGTGATTTGGGTTCCTCGTCATCGTCCTCGATGGTTTCTCGAATACTCCTAATAGAACCAGAAATGGATTTCCTTCTCGTGCTTACACGACTTGAATTTCGAGATCCTCGTTTGGCATGGTGATGAATTCGGAACTTCGAAAGCATAGATGGACTCTTGAGGATTGGTTCGATTCCTATAGCTGTAAATGATGTTGTTCTCGATAACATCAAATCGAATTCATTGGGATCGACATCAGTTCCTGTTGAATCGCCATCATCATCCACCAAGACTTCTTCAATCGCAGGTGTATCATTTCTGGGTGGAAAGAGGAGTGGTGTATTCTCTGTCGCGGTATGGGATGAGGTATTTGGATCATCAGCTCGATGATTGGTTTCCGCCATAATTTCTCTCCTCTGTGCGAAACCGATAATACTCAACAAAGTTCAAACAAAGTCAATCTGCAGAGAATGGAGATCAACACACATATAGATGCACCCGCACTCCCAAAGCGAATTCGGAGTCACCGCCCAATGGAGCAATCATTTTTTTCTCGACACCCTCACAATCATCTACAAGGGAATTGCTGACCCCAAACTCCTCCACTTTCCTCCAGAGGTTAGAGGGGATGGGAAATATATAACCCTGTGACCCTCTATATAACGCAATCGTGCTACGAAAAACCCTCATCCCTTTGGATCCCCAAAGAAAAGAATTCACCGAGTGAGTCAGTCCCGCTTTCATACATCGTATAGTAGGTACATACACACAATGCACCTAGAGAAAAGAGGAAACCGAGATTTGAGGACATGCAATGTTCGAAGAGTTGCAATTGCATCCATCCACCAGTGATACCCGTCGCACCATAACGGGTGAAGGACTTTCGTGACGGGGAACCTATCAGCGCAAAGTATGATTTTCCCGCTTCATCTCTTGGGGTGGGATGGATGGCATATATGAAGATTTCGATTATTCATACAATTGAAAGTTATGTTTTCTGATTGAACAGGTCTTATCATGACTTAGAATGTGACCTTTTTATTATTATTGACTACCTTCGTATCTATATCTTAAAGACGGGATCCCATTGTAGAACACTCTCTATCTATCCTATGAACCCTAGGTATCTAATACAATACAATCAATCATCATCATGCAAAGGGCGCGAATCAACAATCACTCACTACATATACCTACAACCCCAGGCTTTCCACTCAAGTATTCTGCATGCAAGCATGGATTTATTGCAGACCTCGGGAGCTTCGAGTATGCTACCGTACGTACGGATAATATTCGGTTGAATACAATACCCGTTATCGATAAGAGAACCCACCGCATACCGAGCCAAAAATATCCCGGAGCAATATCGGACTTGATATCAAACAGACAATCTGTTTACCCAATATTAATTCAATCTTTTTGACTTATCTACCTATTCCATACAAGTTAAATCAAATAAACCATTGATTTTCAAGATCTCTCTCGCTATCATCTTGAAATTCACACATTCTCTTTCATCTATCTATATCTATATCTCTATCTCTATCTACCTTCCACAAACATTTAGCATACCCCCCCATCATATCCTATCCCATCCAGCATGCCCTCCCCTCCCCTCCGCATCGCCATCCTCGAATGCGACACGCCCCTCCAAAACACCAATTCCAAATACGGCGGATACGGCGGGGTATTCACCTCACTCCTCCAGCGGGGGGCCTCTTCGCTCTCCCCTCCGCTCCCCGAAACCTCTCTGCAGATAAGTAAATACGATGTTGTCACCGCGCAGGAATATCCCTCTCTCTCCTCCATCGACGCAGTCCTCATTAGCGGATCGCGACATACGTCTTTTGATTCTGATGCGTGGATCGTGAAGCTGGTGGAATTTGTGAAGGGGGTGTTGGCGCAGGAGAGAGTGCGCCTGGTGGGAGTGTGTTTTGGACATCAGATTATTGGGAGGGCGTTGGGGACAAAGGTGCAGAGGAGTGAGAGGGGGTGGGAGGTGAGTGTTACGCCTGTGGAGTTGGACGGGGAGGGGAAGGAAATTTTTGGGTTGGAGAAATTGGTATGTTTATTTCTATTTCTATCTCCATTACTTTGATTTCATACATGAATTGAGGAATTGGGAGAGGAGGGAAACCAAAACTAACAAATCAAAAGAACATATTCCAAATGCACAAAGATATCATCTACGAATATCCGCCCGAAGTCGAACAATTGGCCTACACAGATAAATGCGCCACGCAGGGAATGTACATCAGCAAAAGACTCATCACCGTCCAAGGACATCCGGAATTCACAGAGGAGATAGTGCGGGAATTATTAGAGGCACGACATGCATCGGGGGTTTTTGACGATGAGACTTACACGGATGCGGTGGGGAGAGTAGCTAAGGAGCATGATGGTGTGAAAGTAGCGCAGGCGTTTTGAATTCATCATGGAGGATTAGACTGAGATTCTTTTTGGGTGGGGATAGTCGTATAATCCACTATCGGTGTACAAAGCCATTTCTCAGGAAATTCCCAATATTTACTCCATCCATTGAGCATTCAAATCATAATCATTAAATAACTCTAATCACTCAATCTATCCTTCTCACCCCTTCCCTCCCTTCCCATCCCACCCCATCAAACTCCACTCCTCACCCTTCAAATCCCCATCCCACACAATCGCCTAACGATTCAACCCTTTTCCCCCTCCACATCCCCATCCCAGTCCCATACGCAGAAGCGAGACTTGTTGAAACATCCATTCCATCCATCCATCCATTCATCTAGCAAGCAAGCAAGCAAGCAAGCACATTGATATAAAATAATCTTCCAAGTAAAATTCACATTCACATTCACATTCACAAATAATGAGAGTTTTCAAAGCATACCTAGGTAATCCTAGTCTAGGTATTTCTCTTTTTCTCAAGCTAAAGCTAAAGCTCAAGCTCAAGCTCAAGCATCATATCATCTATCTATCTCATCCATCTCCTCTCATCTCCTCACATCCCTCACATTCACAACCCTCATTACCATCTCCACCTATCAAAAACACAAAACATAAAAATATAAGAATATAAAAATATAAGAATATAAAAATATAAGAATATAAAAATATAAGAATATAAAAATATAAGAATATAAAAATATAAGAATATAAAAATATAAAAATATAAACAAACAAACAAAAGAATCATCATTAATAAAACAAAAAACACCTCTCCAAATCCTATTTACATATTTACATACACCTATCCATCCATCCATAAAATCCATCATTCAAAGCATAAAAAGAGAAAAAAAACCTCCAAATCCCATCCACATGCTAACCAACCAAGCAACCAACCCATTCCTATATCCCGAGGTATTTCCTTTCTTCCGTGGTGTGGTATAAGTAACATCTCTGCTTCGTGTTCCCATGGTATCAATCAAAAACTCTTCTTTTCCTTTCCTCTTTCCTCTGTGCATCATCCCCTTCTTCGTTCGCATACCTCCTTATACATTAATTTTCCCCTTACTCTCCTTTCCTTCATCCCTATCTCCCCTCCTCATAAATCCCCCACTCCCCCTAATTCCTCTTAACCGCATCCCCACACTACTAATCCCCTCGCTAATCCCCTCACTAATCTTCGAACTCCACCCTCCCATCCACCTAGGAACCGTCATCGTCAACCTAATCCTACCCTCCACAATCGCCTCCACACAATTAATAATTCCAAACGCACTCGATCCCACCGCTCTAAAGAGCGCCAGAGCCGCCACCGCCCACAGAAGAAACGTCAAGTAATAGTTCGTCCCCAAGTGATCCGGTCCATAAGCTTCACTAACAGCCATTGCCAACGTTCCATTTGCAATCATCCAGACGAGGACCATGTACGTACGAACACTCTTGTAGTAATCTTCCTGCTGTTGCGATTCCGAGATGGGAGGCACGGGGACCTCGAGTCTGTCACGGAGATTGCGAAGCGCTTCATCATAGCCGGAATCGATATCGAGTTGCTCAGAGGGCATTTCGAGTTCGACTGTTTGACCTTTTCCAGAAGCGGCTCCAAGATCGTTAGACATGACATTGTCACCTTTAGTTCCCCATGTGACATCGTGGGTATTGCAAAAGGCGTAGACTTGAAGTGTACAGATGTAACTTGGAAGAAGAGCAAAGTAAGAACCAGAACTGGTGAACATATGCCAAGGATCGAGATAGAGGAAAGACATGAGGAAGTAGAGGCCTATGGTTGAACAAAGCGAGACGACAAGATTGGTGAAGAGATTATTGCCGAGTACGAGACTTTTGGCATTATCGTGAACTTCTCGGTAAACGATATAAATGGTGGAGAAGAGTGTGTATATCATGATGATCGAGTAAATGATCATGGACATGTAATATAACTTTCGTGCTCCCTGTGGCCGATTTCCCATGGATAGAATGAATTGTGTGGCGGTGAGAAGAACACAAACATATTTTAGGATATAAAAAATATATTTTCCGATACTGTGACCAAATGGATCCATATTATCAACAGATAGCGAACCGGCAATGAAGTAGAAGGTAAGGTAGAAATTGGCCAGAGAAAAGTAAGTAAAGAGGAGTTGAATGAACTGATAGATAAATTCAATGTGAAGAAGGATCTTTCGTCCAAGGGTATGATCAGTATGCCACACTTGTTTGAAGTGGGCCAGAGAATAAACAGCTGCGAAGAAAGCTCCATTGAGCCATCTTCTTCTTTGTGATACGAATTCGGGAACAGTATCTAAGAATGATCAGTAAACTCCACAACAAAAATAGCGATTCAACTTACCTGGCACATCAGTCTCTCCAGTACATCCCTTCACATATTTCAAGACCCATCTTTCATCTCTCTTAGCCACCAATTCCCAACACAAAATACGATCCTCAGCCAAATACATATTTGCCGTAAAGACATCTGCATTTTGACCATGTAGCGTTTCTCCCTTGAAATATTGACTCAAAGGACCATGACCCGTATGATCATTCTGTAAAGCATGATATCTGTATGCACTCAGTGCACCAGGCAAAACAGTAATATAACCAAACACACTCTCAATAGGTTTATCAAGAATATTCGACATCTTATATTCGAAATTTTGAGACGCCACCAAAGGATTAAGAAGTCCCACCCACCCTTTACCTTTCATAGCTTTGATTTCTCCACAAGCACCAGCGACATTAGAGTCGGTATCAAAAGCTTTCCACAAATGATAAAGTGAATTGCCTCCAGGCTTCGTACCCACATCCAACATGATACAGATGTTCGGCGTGAGAGCTCTTCCAAAAGCATTGAAGAACCAACGATGAGAATTCAATTTCTTTGCATTCTTTTCCTTGAGACAAAAAAGCATCTGACAAGGAACAATTCCCTTCTCAGCACCTTTGAACTTAAGGTCCGAATCCAAAGAAACTTGAGTCGTATACTCATACACATGAGCTTGCACTTCTCTCCCATTAACCAAATTCTTAGCAATTCCATCTTGATAAACACCCATGGCAGCCAAAGCATCAAGTGTTCTCGGATGAATTTTCTGTCTACCATCCGAAATAATGGCAACCACAATTTTTTGCCATCCATTCTCTCCCCACGTTCTAGATTTCGATCGAGAACAGAAATGTGAGATATTTTTCATAACAGCATGCATCGTTCTCGTAAAATCAATTTCCGTCTCGTTGTACATGGTAATACAGATGAAGAGTTCGGTTTCTCTAGCCGTGGCTCCCATATTTTGACGTAATTTGTAACCTTTCGCTACAAAATCATCGGGATCGCATGTAACGGCTGTATATCGCATATGTGTGAATTCGATTTCATCTCTTCGTGGCAAGAAACTGTAAAGAATAGTAGGGATTTTACACTCCAAAATCAGTTCTCCGTTAATAAGTTTGACTTCTCGTTTTTTCATTTGAGTCGTCCTATTGGCACCTCGGCGTTCTTGCTTTCCAGAAGGTGCGGGCCCATAATGTTCGTAGTCCTTTGCACTTTCCATGTCATCAGCAAAAGTCGAATACGATTGTCTCGACCTCATAGTTCCTCTCACGTCCCTCTTTTCCGGCCCAAAAACATCCTCATCCAACATTTCTTCTTCATAATCGTGTTCGAGTGGTATGTGAATCGTAGCGTCATCTCCAAATGGTGACCGAGCACCATGAGCCGCAAATAAAGGCGCCGGAGGTAATGGTCTTCTCGGACTCCCCCCATAAGCTGTTGAAGGTGTGCCAGGTCTTGGACTTCCATTCAAGTCTGATGGCTCATATTGATAACCCATTGGAGGCGGCACGTTGAATTCCGAAGAATTCCTCTCTTCTCTAATGGGAGACCAAGTTCGCGTGGGAGACGCTCGACCGGAGGGTGAATATTGTAGAGGGGAATATGGACGATATGCGCTTTCGGGGGGAGGTAAATCTGGGACGTTATCTATAATTGAAGGCGCCCTGCGATGATCGTCGTATGTGGTTGCCGTAGGAGGTCTTCTATGGTCATCGTAGGTATTAATTGAAGGAGGTCTTCTATGGTCGTCGTAGGTATTCATTGATGGAGGACGTCTATGATCGTCATATGTATTTATTGAAGGAGCTCTTCTATGATCATCGTAGGAATCTGTGGACATAACAGAAGCTTGATAAGATCTGCGATCGGAGGAAGTACTAATATTTTTCACCAGTGAGCTTTTTTACCTATCAATTGCGATTTCAGAGTAGACAAAGGGGAGGAAACCGGGTGCCTAAGAGATCTTCGACGGGAAGGCCATCTGGAAGAACCGGCAAGAGATGCGCGATGTCATTGGGGTCATGGGCACTCATAGCTGTCGCTGATATCTCGACTTCTGTTTGCAACTTGCAAGATGAGATGACTTTCTCTTCTTTCTCGAGAGACGCGAGATGCTCTGGGGGTCGCCACGGACACGGCTGGAGGGGGTTTCCTGGGAGATAAATGAACAGCTCGCGGAGCGAGTGGTACTACATACGGACGGGTATCGGGATCATCGTAGGAAGTTAACAAACGAATTTCGGAGCCATGTCGATTGTGACCTGCAGGTATTGAATCATATTCATCTGGATATGTCTCTGAATACATTGGAGGCATCGAGGGCGTATTTGAGCGATCCATATTTAAAATTAATGCTTATTGTGAATTGGGGAGTGAATTTTGCGACGGAAATGCGCCAATTCCAATCTTCTTTGGGGGGAATGCGAAGGAATGTTTACGCTTCCATGAATGGATTTGGAATGGTTTGCGTGCGAAGCGAATGTTTTGGTGTAAATATTGATATTCTTTTGGGGAGGTTGAGTCTCAGAATTGGGTTTTCCAAGGTTTCTTTGGATTTGGATTCGGATTCAGATTCAAGTTCGGATTCAAATTCAATTCTCCAATTCCAATTCCAATTCCAATATTTGCAAATAATAAAAGTATAATGGTAATAATTATCAAATGTCAAATATCAAAGATCAAAGATCATAGACAAGTGGAGAGAGGAAGTGTGGTTGGTATGTAGGTACAGGACGGGGACAGGACAGGACAGGACAGGACTTTCTTTCGTAGACACGCAGCATCCGATTTTCCTCTAGGGCAGACAAGGCAAGGCAACGGGCACGCAAGCAAGCAAGCATGGGAGGGAACGAGGAAACGAGGGAAAAGAGGGTAAAGAGGGTAACGAGGGTAAGGAAAAATGGATCAACATCTCCACGAAATGGAATGGCGGGAGGACCAGTTGACGGGGCAACGATGCATTCGACTCAACTATTCAACTGTTTTTTTTGCTTCCCAGCCACGTTTTCGCGTGCTCCAGCTATTAACCATGCATATCTGGTATCCATCCTAGGTACGTAAGATAGCTAATAAGACTGGACAACCAACCAATCCCATCCACCAATGCCATTCTCCGCGAGCTCCGGAGTCCGTTACATACATATATCGACATGCCAATGCCATACCTACCTATCGTACATAGTACATAGTACATACTGCCAGGATATCTACCTAGGTACCTACTCCGTCGGGAGAGTACATACTACACAGCCATGAAAATGGAGTCGACGGTAGACCATACCTACCTAGCACCTACCTAGTATTACCAATCTACATATCCATCTAAAAATACATTTATACATTTCGTATCCTATCTATCCCCTTTTTTTCTAATCATTCATTGTGTGTTTGTTTACTTGTCTCGAGAGTGTATACGCGTACCTAGGTAGGTATATAAAATAGGGTTTTCCGAAGCGATCGATGATGAGAAGAGAGAAGCGATTAGTCTCATTGTTATATAATATAATACATATACGGAGAAGTAGATGCATGTCAGTATGATATATACATACCTAGTACCTACAAAGAAGTAGATATATACCAGTACTAGACACCTAGCTACCTACTAGGTACTCATATATAAATCACATGAACAATCTACCTAATCAACAACGGATACAGAGTAGATAAAGTCCGTGAGAGATCTAGAGCTAGAAAACCCACATACCTACTGGTAGGTACCTAGTAGGTACTATCTAGAAACGATAGTGAGATGAAAATGATAAGATATGATACCGGTATTAGGTACGGAAAATCTGTCTTACCTTACTGCTCACTGTTCGCTCGTCTATCTATGTTATGTAGGTACTGGTACTCACTCAGAAAATCACCCCTCACTTTTAATTCACTTGTTTCACTCTTCACTCATCGATTCATTAATAAGCATTCTGCACAATTCACAATTCACAATTCACAATTCACAATTCACAATAAATTCCTCATTCATTCATTCATACCTCAGGTATCCATCCATCTATCTACAAATCTTCCCCATCTATCCATCTTCCCACCTTCCCTTCCCTCCCTCCCCTTCCATTCATCCTCCCTGCTCTCCATAAAATTATTACTACTACATTTATATATCCATCCTATAACAAAGCGCGCATCCAAATTACATTGAATAAAACAAACAAACAAACAAACAAAACATCAACATCAACATCGACATTAGGTAACATCACCTCAAAAAATTTCACATACCAGGTATCTGTGCTTGCTTGCTTGCAACGGCTACAACATCTTTCACTCTTTAAAGAAACATCCGCGTTCGTAGGATCGTAAATATACACAAAGGTTTTTAAATTCATCCTCGTTTATCGCCGAGTCCTCTTCCCCCAAGACCTCAAATATCTTTCTCTCTTTACTTCTCCTCTTCTTCTTCTTCTCCCTCCAATTCCTCCCTCCCCCGCCTGAATTTTATCCTCCTCTCAACATGAATAGAATAAAAACCTTCCGTATCAAAAAACCATACCCGAAATATTAGGAACGTTTTTTATATAATGATGCAAAGAAGGGGGTATAAAGACGATACCCAACGCCCAATGACTTGAAAATAAATAAATAAGGAAAAAATGATGAGCGTATTGCTCTTCTTCAGACAGATGCTGAGATTTTGGAGAGGATGTATATGATACAACGAGATGAAGTTCTTGAGATTACCTTCATATGTTTTGAATTTTGGGGGGTATATGTTTGTGAAGAAGAAATTAAATTGACCTGCTTGACAGTCTTCAATTCCATCCCAATGAATTCTCCGCCATCATTGGTGCCGAGATTTGTTGTGTACGTGCTGAATGTCCTGCACTTCTTCCACTTCCTCCACTATTTCTATCGGTTCCTCCAATACCAGGTGTCAAACGTCCACCAGACATGAAAGCACCACCAGTGAAAGCACCAGATTGTCTCATTTCTGATGCATTCATGATCGAGTTGGATCGACGATGGCTAAGCTTACGTTTCTTATATCTTCTGGCGATGAAGAACATGGCAGCACCATAAGCAGCTGCTGCACCTGCTGCTCCAACAACAATACCAGCTGTGGTACTCTTAACCTTGGGCGAGGTATTTTGAGCATCAGTATTGAAGACACCACTATTGCCTGAAGCACTAGTAGTTGCTGCTGAGCCAGAACTATCAGTACCCGTTCCAGAACCACCTTCAAGAGTTGATCCAGGTGTTAATGGAATAGAAGGGTTGATATAGCTAACAAGTGTGCTAACTGAAGGATCGGCATTGTTGTAGATGGCTGCTGTAGGTGTATGTAAATCAAGTTCCAATGTGCTGACCAAGTTGGTGGGAATATAAGCGAGTGCCAAAGTTGTGATGTATTCCAATTGAGATTGTGTATTATATGGAATAAGACTGTGCATAACAACTTGTTCTGGCTTAATTCCTAATCCATTGGCAATACCTATTGGAAGGTATTGGAAGATTTGTGCTGATGAAAGTGGGGTGGCAACAACAAATGCATAATTAAGTTGGAAAAGGAATCCAAGTTGAATCAAGGTAGAGTTTTCTGGACTGGTTGGAATAGATCCACTGGGTGTAATGACCTTTGGTAAAGTTGTAGCAAGTGCAGTATTGGTAGGAGTAACTTGATGGGTTGATGAAGATTGAACAATGATGGTTTGTGGAAGCCACATTGATGTAGCGTTGTTTGTAGCTGTTGGGTAGATTGTGAGAGGAGCTGTTGTTTCACTAGCCGTTTGAGTCTTAACAACTGAAGTAGTTACTTTCTGAGTGGGAGAGGCAATTGTTGATGGAGTAACAGTCGTCGATGGAACGGAAGTAATTGGTGCAGTAGTAGCTGAACTTCCAGAGGTAACAGTTGCTGACGAAGCTGCAGTTGAAGATGTATCAGTTACCGTTGTATTTGGAGTTGTTGTGGCAGAAACGGATGTTGCAATGCTTGACAGACTTGAGGCAGAAGCGGAAGAAGCAGAAATTGAGGTATCGGTGATATTGGCTGATCCACTGGTCACAGAAGTTGCAGAGGAAGTCGATAAAGTAATAACTCCTGTTCCTGAACTGGATGTGGTGGTAGCAGATCCGGTTTGAATACTGGTGGAAAGGCCAGTTGTAGATACTGCAATCGAGGTCTTATTTCCACTTGCAGTGGTTGGGAGAACAGTTCCTGAAATCGTAGAAGAAGATCCAAGGCTAATGGATGTACTTGATACAATATCTGTTCCAGAAGTAATAGCTGTAGCATTTGGAGCACCAGTGGCAGTTGATATATCACTTGTAATCGTAGCAGATGATTCACTGGCAGTGCTAGAGCCAAATATACTCGATATTATACTTCCCAATGGAGTAGAACTGGAGGAAGATGGAGTAGTAGTACTAGCTGCGGTGGATGAGAGATCTGTGGAAGAACCAACAATGGAAGTAACACCAGAAATGACGGAGGATAACAATCCTGTGGCTGATGCACTTTCCGAGGTGATTGTAGCCGAGGCAGATATACCTGTTCCGCTGAGAATTGTTGAACTTGGGGCACTAGATAAATCTGACGTGATTGATCCAATTTCAGAGGTCACATTGGAAGTAGCAGAAGAAAGATCCGAAGATAAAACTGAAGTAGCCGAGCCAATGTCCGAAGTTACTGATCCGAGAAGAGAACTAATACCGGAAAGAAGACCAGTTGATGTTGGGGCAGAGGATTCAGTAGCAGTAGAGCTAATTCCTGTAACTGGGCCGGTAATTCCTGCAGATGATGCAGAAGCACTCAGATCAGTAGCGGTAGTAGTTGGTAATGTATTCGAGGTTTCAGATGCCAAGGCAGAACTCAAGTCGGAAGTAACTCCAGATAGAAGGGATGAAATCAAATCTGTAGCGGAAGCAGTATTTGAAACATTGGTACTGTTCAAAGTACCTATAACAGATGCGGAATCAGTAGCTTCTGTTCCGGTAGCTGAGGCAGTACTAGTTGTAAGTAAATCAGATGTGAGAGATCCAACATCCGAAGTTACAGATGACAAATCAGATGTTACTCCAGATAGAAGAGATGATAGTAAACCGGCTGGGGCTGTAGTAGATGCAGATCCACTTGAAACACCAGTTGCAGGTCCAGTAATTCCAGCGGAAGTAGGAGAAGCTGTAGCACTCAAATCCGTGGCAGATACACCTGTGGTAGCTCCAATAATACCTGCCGAGGAAGCCGAAGCCGAAGCGACAGAATCCGTAAGGGAAGTCAAGGAAGTTGGAAGAACATCCGAGGTAACGGAAGATACCAAGGAAGATACTCCACCGACCAAGGATGAGAGTAAATCACCGGGAGCTGATGACGAAGCGGCATCTGAGCTGTAGATTGGAGCGGTTCCTGTTGAGGCTCCAGTAATTCCAGAAACTGTATTTGAAGGTGCTGAGACACCGGTAGATATTCCAGTAATTCCAGCAACAGTTGTTGGTGCTGAACTATCTGTAGTAGCAGTGTTTGAAACTGAGATATCTGAGGCAGCAGTAGATGGACCAGTAACACCAGCCAAAGTAGTTTCAGAAGAAACACCTGTAGCAGGTCCAGAAATTCCAGCACTTGAAGTTGCAGCTGATGAATCTGTTGGTAAAATAGCACTCGTTACTTGAGATACTGCAGTTCCTAGATCGGAAGTCACACCACCAACTAGACTGGTTAATCCAGTACCAATGACTCCCAAAAGACCAGATGATGAGTCAGTTGGAACAGATACTGGGAAAGTATTTGTATCCGAAGGACTTGCAGTGATAGTACTTGAGCCGGATAAAACTCCACCTGGTCCAAAGGTGATTCCACTAGCTGAAGAAGTAGTGGCTGAAGTCACCAATGTACTTTGAGAATCGGATTCAGAAGTTGTGGTAGGAAGGAGAATACCGGATGGGATTAAACCTGTAGAAGCGACAATTGGTTCCAGAAGGTTTGAGCTTGAAGAACTATCTACTGATGCGACTGAAGATGGGGATACAGTTGTACTTGGAGCTGAACCAGTTCCAGCGATATCACTGGAAGATGCAGATTTGACAGTGGTGGCTACAGAGGTTTCAGAAGATTCTGAGGATTGGGCAACACTGGAAATAACGGTTGGGGCTGTACCGGTAGGTACTCCAGAAACACCCGAGACGGTCAAACTTTGAATTGGAGTCTCGGTTGGAGTTGGAACTGAAACTGGCGCAGTTACTGATAAACCAGATCCAGTAGATGCTCCAGTAATACCCACAACTGAGCTCGAGGATGGAATTGAAGTCTCGGAAGCAATACTTTCAACGGAAGTTGGGACAGTGCCAGTGGATACACCAGAAATTCCATCAACAGTGCTTTGGGTTGAAGTTTCGGTAGCGCTAGTTTCAGTAGGTTTTGGGGGTGTACCTGTTGATGGTCCAGAAATACCAAAATCTTCGGAAACGGACGTGCTTGAGACACTAGAGACGCTAGTGGCGCTGGTAGTTATGGGTACACCGGTGGGAGCTACAGTTAATCCAAGAGAAATATCAATATCAGTGTTGCTGGAACTGCTGATTGGTTCGACAGCCGATTTTGTAGTAACCGATGAAACTCCGACGAGAACATAGGAACTGGTGGATGATGGGCTAGATACTCCAGTTGATACTCCAGTAATTCCATCCACGGTTGAGCTAGAAGAACTAATGACTGTAGGAGCCGATACAACAGTTTGGGATGTACCAGTAGATGCTCCAGAAAATCCAGCATTGGAGCTTGTCGCAACAGATTGTACTGATGAGCTAATGAAAGTCGAACTGGGTGAAGTGGTCGATTCAACGGATGAAATGCTGGGTTCAACTCCGGTCGAAATACCTGTAATTCCATCCACAATTGAAGTCGAAGAACTGGTAGTCGTGGGTTCCGGAACACTAGTAGTCGTAGGTACGGAAACGATGGTTTGGCTTGTTCCAGTTGATGCTCCAGTATATCCAGCATTAGAACTTGAATCTGTACTTAAAACTGAACTTTCCGTCGTTGATTGAGCACTTGGCGATGAGGTTGTTTCAACAGCCAAGATCGAAGTTGAAGTCGAACTTGTCGTTGGTGGAATCACGGGAACTTCACCAGATCCAGTTCCTAAAGTCACAGTACTCATAACTAGAATTGTTGTGATATCATTTGAAGATACATCACTAACGACGGTTGTACTCAAAGGTGGAATACTGGAAGGAATGCTTGTAGTAGTAGGAATGATCGTAGTTGAACTCGACGACAAAGGTATCGATGTCGTAGTTGTCGTTCCTAAGCCAAGTATAGAAGAGAAAGTATCCAAGAATGAATTACTTGAAGATGCCCTCTTATTCGTCGTAGTATCTCGAGTTCCATCATCTGATAGTGGATCTTTTGTGGATGAGAATGAAGATGTAATTGTAGATTCATCCTTCGTATGCGATGTTTGAGCTGGTGTATTGCTTGTAATGGTATTGTTTGAATATATTTGTCTTTTGACTTCTCGTGGAAAGTAATACTTTGGTCGATCCCCTTCTGCGGAGGCAAGTGAGGAAAGAACGACCGCGGAGGCCAAGAATAGCGAAGGTGTATGCATGATTGTTAAATTTATCTCAATTTATTTCGAACTTATTATTGAGATATTAGTATTTGAAAGTACTGGACGAAAGTTTAGATCGATCTAAACATAAATTAGTTGAAGCTCAAAGTTGAGTACGACGATGGCGTTAGTTGATGAAGAAGGGCCGCGGCCATCAAAAATGAAGATAGAAGACTAACTGTCAGGGCGAATAAGTAATAACGAGTGTACTTGACAAAATGTCAAAGAGTGTATCTATTGATAATTGTCATTAGTATGTTAACTTATTGAATATCGCATGAATGATCAACATAAATCTAAAGGACAAGCAAGGTTTGGACGATAGTTTGCGAACGATTTGATATCGCAACCTCAATTCGAAGAACGGTCATCATTCAAGCCGAACCAACATTTTCCCTCGCAAACACTCTTTACTTTTGGTGAACAAATATCGACTCACATCTTAAAATTAATTGTATCGAATCGTATATGAATAAATCGCGAGTCTTTAAAGGAGTGTCGTGACGATAAATCGTCAATTGTTTTTTGGGTGGGTATATCCTCCTTTCACAACTTCGAATCGAAACCAAATCATCTACGAGCGACCATTATCCATAAGCCTCCGGAGGCTCTCACGATTAAAGATGCTGACAATCTCCGACGAGATAATATCGTTCGATCAACCTTCGCTTTCGAAATCGATTGTTGGTTATTGTATTCCTGATGAGGTGTCGAGGGTTGGGTATAGAGAGAGTGTGGAGGTGAGGTCGGAGTGAAGAGGTGGGCGGTGGAGAAGGATGGCGAGGAGGAGGTTCAATGGAATGAATGAATGAATGAATGGATGAATTGAAGTGGCCTCGATTTCGTGAGAACCTTTTGCCTTGGGGCCTTGTGAAGCTTTCAGTGTGAGGATGAGAGATTTCTGTGGATACTCTCAAGTTGTGGAACGTAGGCGTACGGGCCAGGGAGTCAATTTACTAGAATTATAAAGGTTAGGTAGGGGGAACGTCCGTTGTATAGACCAGGAACCAAAAAGATAGTATGCCAGGGGGCCGTGAGATTGATAGAAAAAACGGGAGGAAGAGAGAGATGGTGTAATTGTGAATACAAAGTAGGAACTAATAAGTAGATAGATTGAAGCACGAGCACATTTCAACATGATATTGTATAACCACGGTAGACTTACGGATGATATGATGGGAGTACGATGGAAGTACACAATACACCAAAAGGATGTATTGAGATGAATGAGGATGAGATTCTATTGTAACTATGGTTACAATCATACAACTTCTCTAATGTGAGATGGCAAGCAAGCAAAAGGAAATACCATTAATAAGATGTACAAAATACTCATAGATGAAACTAAATCCATAAAAAATCAAAGTATGTTATTATGGAATTGTTTCTCTATGCATCTACCGATACATCTTGAATTTGTTCATAAAAATTATGTATTTTCTATCTGGTCAGTCGTCTTGTCTTTGACTTACTCATTGCCTACGCACTCCTCTGTCTATCCCTCTCTCTCTCTCTCTCTATCTCTATCTGATCCATTTATCTTTGCCTCCAAGCCACCAGACAATCATCACCTATTTAGCATTTTTCCTTACCCCGTGTTACTTTCGCCTAAATACTAACCCAGTAACTTGTCACTTTTAGCCACCCATTAACCAATAGGGTCTAACAATTGGTCTCTAGCGTGTTTGAAATAAGCCTTTAATCATACTTTAATATCCGAATACATGAATTAAGGTGTATTATCGTACTATGAAAACAAGGGGCCAGGTCAAACTTGTAAGGGAGGCTTTCAAGGCTTTTTCTTCTTCTTTCCACCTGAGCATTGAACAACAGTCAGTCAAGTTTCATTTGAACAATTCATAAATGTGAGAGAGAAGAAGGGAAAATAGTCGGCAGTTGTTTCAATGTCAATTAGAATTTGTGATTCAATTACTTCTTACAAGGCTAGACAAATAACCTAGTAAATTTGTTTCCTTACGCATGGGATTATAATGGTTCATGAACATGGTAATTTGGGGATTAATGGTGGGATGGGATGGAATAGAAACAACCAATCTGTTTGAGATGAAAATTGTAATCTTATATTTTATATAAAAAGCTGTGAAAAATATTCATCTCTTTCATAACTTTTCATCATTTTTCTTTCCTTTTCTTTGCTTTCCTCTCCTCTCAAAAGAATGATATGCAGCTCCGCCACTTCCAAAAATGAATGTGATGAACGACATCACCGCGCCAATATTCCAACAATTGGTGAAAACCTCCTGCTTTATGCATTGACAAATTGGCAATGCACATTCTCTCTCGGAAAATAGATTTATTGATTCTATTCAATTCTTTTGAGGCCAATTCTGTGGCCACCTTACTCAATGAGTTAATCAACCGAGTTTTTCCCCTTCATTTCGATACTTTCGTTTACACCACCAACATATTGACAACCAAACCATAAACATAGACATAATTTCCAATCGTCGCTCTACTACTCTTTAACCTTCAATCTATCGTGAATCGTGATTAAACATCTGACCATCATAACGTAGTTTGTATATCATCTTAATAATTCTCCTGGTGCAACAAGCTAAGTCAAAGTCTATGACCCTACTCAACGCTCAGGTCCCTGGAAAGATTATGGCGTCGATCATTTGGTCTAAGAACCATCTCTCTTCTCTAATGAGAAGCTCTCCCCACATACAGACGGAGTACAGTGGTACACATATCACAAAAATGGAGTACATACACATCATCACACACACCCTAGGGCCTACACCTAAGCTCTGTGTTCAACATCGAATACTCTCCACTCTCGCAATCCACTCTCTCGTTCCAATCCAGCTATGGTTAGTTTGATCATGCTCCCCATCTCGCTCTTGTTTCTGTCCCAGGAATCGTTCCTGTATCTAACCGCTAGATCTAGGTACCTTTTCACATCTTACTCCATTCTCCATACCATAATGCGTGCCTAGGTATGCTCTGATTCGTGCATCTGAGCTACTAGTCTTACTGTATGTCAATAATTAACGCGCAGTGACTGAACCTACGCAATCCGATCAAAAGTCGACATGACATACGGGGTCTGTATGTGAAAATAGATACATATTCCTATAAATATTCTCTTACTTTGCCTATCCAATCGTAGGAAATGTCTGTAGTGCAGAAGAATAAAATGATATTCGGAAATTATGATATCTGAGCAAATCCGAGCAAATCAACATTTTTTTTACTTTGCAGTCTGTACCCTTCATATCAATAAGTAGATTCAAAAATCCAGAAAGGTCCGAGGCATGTATATCAATAGAAGATTCCGAAGGGGAAGTCGTCGCAATGCGGAAATTGTCATCAGATTTACGACCTACCTAGGTAAGCTCAAGAAACCTTAATTCCTCTCACTAGAACAAATATCAAATATCAAATATCTCATAGTTTTACCCTACCCTACCGAGCCTACTCCCCTACTCCCCTACTTTACCCTGCCCTACCTGACAAGTTCCCTAAAACTTACACGCGGAAACCATCAATTTAACTCAATTCTCCGGTGTACACTTACTTACACTTACTTGCTTGACTTGCTTAACTCACACTTGGGACAGGAAGCGGCCGAGCGAGTGAGCCAGCCCAAAACTAAACAGTCCTCAAGCTAGAACACATACCCATAATCGACCCCAAAACCATTGAAGAGAAGTCGGAAAAATGCCAAGAACACCAGCGCTACGAACTCCCAACTACAAGCTTGAGAATAAAATTACCATCAGGTCTTTTGTGCATACCGAGTAGAGGATTCAATCTTGTGCTCGAAACTTGATGTTTTTCTCTTGTCTGTGAGCCGCAGAACCTACAAAGCGTAAATATCTCTCTAGTCTGATCTTGGTCTCGATCTTTTTAATTGCCGGCGGTGTGATTTATTGGAAAGTATCTTTCTCGGTATCTATTCTATATATCTACCGATAGACGCCCTCATAGATACGATTCAGACGAGAGAGCGGATGTTCGTCTGAACTTGTCTCGATCTTTCTCTCATGAGTAAGTGAGTGAGTGAGTGAGTGAGAGTCTCATCTACTATCTACTAGGTATCTATCACAACTTCAACGATCAATCACCTCAACAGACTAAAAGAAATGATATGACATTCCTTTCTCTCATTGATCATCTGGATACATACATACATAACTTCGTGAAGACTACTCAATCCAGCTAGCCTAGCTACACATACAGGAATGCAGATCAAAGATACACATCTACGTACCTACACGAAACTACACACAGGACCACACACAAGACCACACACTCCTCTTCCCCGTTCGTGGACATGGCGTCATATACAGTGTTTCATCTTTTGCACATCACTGCTCCAGTTCCACATTCCATCCATTCATCCGTATGTATTTCAAATTTCACAATACTCTGTAGATAGTGTCCGTAGCCAGCTCTCCAAGATATACGCCATATGCATTATGGATATACCTAGGTATCTATGTACCTATGTATATTGTGATACAAAGGGAACATTCTTCAATCCTTCCATCCACACGCACAACACTACTACAACTAGAAATCCGATACCAATACATTCCTTCCTTCTTTTCTTCACATTACCACATTTTTTGTTTCGAATTCAGCTCTCCCCCTCTCTCTCCAAATCCACAATCAAAATCCACAATGAAACGAAACAATCCGCCACCTTCCCTTCCTCCCCTCCCCTCCTCCCGTGCATACTCCCAAACTCCCAAGTCCAAGCACACCCGTCCAATTTCCAAACACGAAGGGGAGCTCCTTGTCACGTATCCATTTGTTTCTCCTCTCGGATTCCCAGATTCCTAGATTCCCAGCTGTGTAGTTTTCACGACTGGGTTTTTAGGGTTTGCTGAGGTGTGTGTGATGTATATTATATCATATTAAAAAAGAGAGAAAAAAAGATCTCGTATTACAACTTGTGAATATAGTAGTACTGTACTCGTACTGTAGATTGGGGTTCAATTTGCTGTATTCTGATATATTTGTATGTA